GTAACACAGTACAGCAGCAACAGGAAACTAAACAGTGGCCAAGATGGTCTAACAAATGATAGACTCATGGAGTAGGTTAGCTTCTGGGATAGACAGAAGCTAGGTGGTAATAGGGGAGGCCAGGGACTCAAGATGTTATCATTACCTCTATTTTGTTAATTAAAAACAAAACGTTTTATTTTGGAATAAATTTAGACTTTTAGAAAAGTTGTAAAAATAGTACAAAGAATTCATGTGTACCCTTCACATAGGTGGAAATAGGGGAGTTCTTTATTAATACATATAATATAATAATAATCTGTGAGGCTCTTATTTCCTTTTTCCAGTTTATTACATTGACTGGGATGCATCCCGTATGGTACATCCAGTATGATGTTGAGCAGGACTGATAAGAGAGGACATCCTTGGCTTGAGCTTAATAGGATAGCATTCAGTCTTTCACCATTACATATGATATTTCTTCTTTTTTTTATGTTCATGTTGTGAATTATATTGATTAACTTTCAAATGCTGTATCAGCATCCCTGGGATAAATCCCACTTGATTGCGATTGATATGGTTTGTATGGTTTGGCTGTGTCTCTAACCAAATCTCAGCTTGAATTGTATTTCCCATAATCCCCATGCGTCATTTGGAGGGACCCGGTGGGAGGTAATTAAATCATGGGGATTGTTACCCCCAAACCGCTGTTCTTGTGACAGTGAATGAATTCTCATGAGATCTGATGGTTTTTGAGGGGCTTTTCCCCTTCTTTCACTCTGCACTTCGCCTTGCTGCCACCATGTGAAGAAGGACATGATTGCTTCCACTTCCGCTATGATTGTAAGTTTCTTGTGGCCTCCCCATCCATGCAGAACTGTGAGTCAATTAAACTTCTTTCCTTTATAAATTACCCAAGCTTGAGTATGTCTTCATTAGCAGCGTGAGAAGGGACTAATACAGTGATATATGATTCTTCTTATATAGCACCGGATTTGATTTGCTAGTATTATGTTGACTATTCTAGCTGACTGCTTTTCCCCAGTGTCCATCCAGTTCCATCTACCCCAGGTAAGCTACTAGTTACATCTCCTCTCTCCCTGAAGGTATCTGTCTGTCCTTTTACTATGGACCAACTGATTGCCTTGAGACCTCAGTTCGCCAATTCATTTGAAAAAAGTAATGAATTTGCAGTTGTCTTGCCTTGTTGTTTTGTTGCTGTTCTAAGGGAGAGGGCAAGGCTCTGTCTAAGTATTTATATCCCTAAGTGGAAACTAGAGGCTCCGCAATTGTTTTTTCCACCATTGTTTGTCTGAGATAAGATCCAAATTAGATTTATACAACCTAACGGTTGATATGTCCCTTAAGTCTCTTTTGATCGATAGTTTCTCCCTCTTTTTCTCTCTTTTTGTCCCCTACCCTCTTTTTTCTGTATTGTTGTTGGAGATACCAGCATTTTCTATCTTAAAGTTTACCACAGTCTGAATTTTATTGACTGTGTCCCTGTGGTATGGTTTAATATGGTTCTCTGTCCCCTGTGTTTCCTGTAAATTGGTAGTTAGATCTTGAGACTTTATCAGAATCAGGTTCATTTTTTGATAATTCATGATGTAGATATTTCTTTGTGTGTGATGTTATCAGCTGTTGATGTTCAATGCCTATTAATTCATTAGGATGTGTTCATTTGCTTTCTTTGATGGATGAAGAAAATGAGGCTCAGAGAGGTTGAATTCCTTTCTTAAAATTCCTTTCTTTCTTTATTTCCTTTTTTTTTGGAGACAGAACCTCACTTTGTTGCCCAGGCTGGAGTGCAGTGGCATGATCTTGATCTTGGCTCCCTGCACCCTCTGCCTCCCGAGTTCAAGTGATTCTCCTCTGTCAGCCTTCTGAGTATCTGGGATTACAGGCATGCACCACCACGCCCAGCTAGTTTTTTTTGTTGTTGTTGCTGTTGTATTTTTAATGGAGATGGGGTGTCATTTTGTTGGCCAGGCTGGCCTCGAACTCCTGGCCTCAAGTGATCTGCCCACCTCAGCCTCCCAAAGTGCTAGGATTACAGGTGTGAGCTACCACGCCCAGCCTGAATTACTTTCCTAAGACAATACAGAAAGTAAAGTTGTACCCGGGCCTGGAATCTGTGTCTTATAAATGCAAGCTTTATGTCCATTTATAAGCCTATTGACTTTCCAGACCTAGCATTATTAAGCCACAATAATATCAATGTTTCATCCCTACGGACACGGCACACTCTCACCTCTTTTAGGAAGAGACGAATCTCTCTGAATTCAGTTTTGCTTGGAGTGATTATACCATACCATACCATACCATACCATAACATACCATACCATACCATACCTGCCATGCCATATTGTACCGTAACATACCAAGTGATTATTCAAAATATTTTCCCCTCAAGTTCTGGATTACATTTCTTCTTATGGATACAATGAAAGAATTATCCATTGCTAATTGTAGTGCCTGGAGTGGTATCCAAAATCAACTCAGAATCCTGAGCACATTTGGGTTTCTGCTTGCCTCTTCAGTTCAGCAGAAAAAAAGCAACAAAACAAACAGATATAGAAAATAAGTACTACAAAGCAATTTGTTTCTTTTTTGTATTGCATTCAAAACTTGCTACTAAAAGTTCTCTTCAGCTCTGAGAGACAGAGAGAGAGAGGGAGAGAGAGGAGAGAGAGAGAGAGAACATTGCAACTGTTTTTTGTCTACTACCTGAATTTTTCGTGAGTTTGTATCTAAGGTGACATAGTATCTCCATGGAAGAAATCTTTATGGAAGAAATTCCATAAATTATTGGTTAGCGATAGTGGAAACAATTCAAGAAAAATACATTTTTAACTCTATAAAAAATAAATTTGTCATGTTCAAATAGGCCAAGGATAGACATCTCTCTTGACTTGAGCTTTTATTTTTCAACACAAGTGGATGTACTTAGGTTCCCTTCCTGTATCATCTGACCTAAGAGTGTGACATTCTTGAGCTTATTTTCGAAAAGAGGTCAAGAACTTCCCACCCTGCAAATATTTTCTTGGAAACTTGGAGTTTATGAAATCAGTAATATAAAGATTATTATTGAAACAACTTCTAATCTATTTCAAATACAACTTATACAGTGAGGGAGGATGAATGTGGTTTTACCTTTTAACCACAGAGCTCTGGGATTCCCAAGCAGAGAAAATGCTCTGCTTCTCTACTTCCTCCTATGAAGATTCAGGAACTCTTAGGTGAGACTGGAACTTTTTGACCTGAATGGAACTTTTTGGTCCTGTTGGACACTAGGAGAAAATCAGGCAGAAACCTATAAAAACTACCAAACTTTGGAAACACTGTCAAAGAGCCAGGACAAGGACCAGGGTTGACAGACATAGATTAGGAATTATATTTGGAGTATTAACGTAGTGTGGAGTCTTGGTGATTATCTAGTCCAACACATTTTGAATGGTGACTTTACAAAGTTGCAAAATTGTCAGTGGTCAAGCAGAGATTGGAGTCTGTTCTCCTAAGCTGTTCCTTGAACTTCTCTCCTGCTGGCATCTGAATTTAGAAGAATTGGGCGTGGGTTCTGGCTCTGAAGTTCACTGTATTGGTGACCTTGGGTAAATCACACTGATTGTCACTGGACCTCATTTCCCCCATCTGAAGAATGCAGATGATTGCGATTCAGGTTGTAGTGAATTAAATGGCGGTAATGAATGTGGAAGCCTTCGTAAACTAGAACGCACATGGAAAAGTTATTAGACCTATGCAATAGGACTGAGTCTGGTTAGATCCACTGACATTCCCCGGGAAATTTCACACTAGATTAAGATTTTCTCTCTTCCCAAAAACCTTGGGTGTGAATCCAAAGCCCATTAATATCTTGGGAATAAAGAGTAGCAGGTTGGTCAGTTCAGTAAGATCATCTTGACAGGCTCATGTATAGTCTGGAAGGAGCCTAATACTGGGGAGTCACCAGTAGGACTGTGTGGATGTCCTTTAGTATTTTCTTTCTACTGCTGCTGCGGCTTCAAAAACATACAGTTAATAAATTTCACTAATGCCTATAGGAGCGCTTGCTAGGGATCTTTGGAAAGAGTAATCTTCACATTTAGAAGTATTTTCTCATTGTGGAAAATGGGATGATGAGAAATGGGAAAATGATCTTAGCTACTTATGATTCTAAAAAGCCTTCAGATGGAATAACCTATGGAGAATTAGACATAATGGCAGCAAAGAAATAACTTATTTACTACAAGGTCCACTTAGTTATTTAATCACTGTTACTGTCATACAAATATGTATTCCATACAAAGTGATGAAAAGCTAGTAGTGGCATAAAATGCAATTGTGGAATGACAGCTTAGCAAATGCAGACATAAACACACACATATATTTACATGTGTATATCATTTTTGTTTTGGAATAAGTTTTGATTTACATTAAAGTTGCAAAGATAGTGCAGAGAGTTCTTGTGTACCGTTCTCCCAGGTTCTCCTAATGTTAACATGTTACATAACCAAAAGACAAAGTTATTTTGATGACCTAAAGTAAAAAAAAAAAATTAAGCACATCGAAGACCAATTAACAAAGTTTGTGCTGAAATTAAGGTCATTCTAAGTGGAGAGACTGGGATAAATATTTTCAACATACGTAACAGAAAACGTATTAATACCCAATATGAAACTTCTATGAATTAGTTGCTATAAATGGCAAACACCTAAATAAAAATGTGCAGAAAAAGAAATATTGGGTAATTCGCAAAGGAAGGAAAAACAATTTCCAAAATATTAAAGGAGATAAGCTCGTCTGAAGTTGTAATTAGTAACATAAAAAATAAGATAATCATTCCTTAGAATGTCAAAAATCAAAAAGCTTGATAATACTAGATCTTTACAACAGTGCAGTAAAATACACATTCTCATATGTTGTTGGTGGAAGCATGAGTTGTTCAAGCCTGTTGGGAAGGCACTTGGTTAATATAAATCAGATTTTAAGGTTCACATACTTTTTGACTTAACAATCCATTTCGCTTTTTTAGCGCCATCTGCTCGCGGCACCGCCTCCTGCTCCTCCCGCCGCCGCTGCCGCCCTGAGTCACTGCCTGCGCAGCTCCGGCCGCCTGGCTCCCCATACTAGCCGCCGATATTTGGAGTTCTTACAACATGGCAGACATTGACAACAAAGAACAGTCTGAACTTGATCAAGATTTGGATGATGTTGAAGAAGTAGAAGAAGAGGAAACTGGTGAAGAAACAAAAATCAAAGCACGTCAGCTAACTGTTCAGATGATGCAAAATCCTCAGATTCTTGCAGCCCTTCAAGAAAGACTTGATGGTCTGGTAGAAACACCAACAGGATACATTGAAAGCCTGCCTAGGGTAGTTAAAAGACGAGTGAATGCTCTCAAAAACCTGCAAGTTAAATGTGCACAGATAGAAGCCAAATTCTATGAGGAAGTTCACGATCTTGAAAGGAAGTATGCCGTTCTCTATCAGCCTCTGTTTGATAAGCGATTTGAGATTATTAATGCAATTTATGAACCTACGGAAGAAGAATGTGAATGGAAACCAGATGAAGAAGATGAGATTTCGGAGGAGTTGAAAGAAAAGGCCAAGATCAAAGATGAGAGAAAGGATGAAGAAAAAGAAGACCCCAAAGGAATTCCTGAATTTTGGTTAACTGTTTTTAAGAATGTTGACTTGCTCAGTGATATGGTTCAGGAACATGATGAACCTATTCTGAAACACTTGAAAGATATTAAAGTGAAGTTCTCAGATGCTGGCCAGCCTATGAGTTTTGTCTTAGAATTTCACTTTGAACCCAATGAATATTTTACAAATGAAGTGCTGACAGACATATAGGATGAGGTCAGAACCAGATGATTCTGATCCCTTTTCTTTTGATGGACCAGAAATTATGGGTTGTACAGGGTGCCAGATAGATTGGAAAAAGGAAAGAATGTCACTTTGAAAACCATTAAGAAGAAGCAGAAACACAAGGGATGTGGGACAGTTCGTACTGTGACTAAAACAGTTTCCAATGACTCTTTCTTTAATTTTTTTGCCCCTCCTGAAGTTCCTGAGAGTGGAGATCTGGATGATGATGCTGAAGCTATCCTTGCTGCGGACTTCGAAATTGGTCACTTTTTACGTGAGCGTATAATCCTGAGATCAGTGTTGTATTTTACTGGAGAAGCTATTGAAGATGATGATGATGATTATGATGAAGAAGGTGAAGAAGCGGATGAGGTAATGTTTACCAAATGAGCAAATAATTCTCTGTGGTTAACACATTGAGAAGCAAATGGAATGACTTATGTATTCCTTTGCTATAATCATTCTGTGATTTGGGATAAAAACATTTTGGAAAACATGATTTTAGAATTCTACAGCCAAACAATGTATGTATAAGGTTTCAATAAATAAATTGCAAAACTCAAAAAAACAAAACAAAACAAAAAAAACAATCCATTTCTAGGAGACTTTTAAACCAAAAACCCTCAAGCACATGTTTTATAAAAATCTACGTACAAGGAAGTTCATGTTAGCATTAGTTATAAAAGCAAAAAACTGGAGGCAGCATGCACATCAATAATTGAGCGTGTAGTGAATACATTATCGTATACCTTTTCTGTGCAATGCTATGTAGTCATTATAAAGAATGAGGTAGAGCTGTGTGTTCAGATGTGGGATGACCTCTGAGATGTGTTGCTGTAAAGTGGAGAAAGCAAGTCATAGAACTGAGAGGAGAGCCAGATTCCTTTTGTGTTTTTTTAAAAAAAGTGTGTTCATATATGTAAAGATCCATCTATAAATCCATGCAACAATGGAGAGTACCCACCAAAGAACAGGGAAAGGGCCTACTCATGTTTTATATTGTGTGATTTTGGATGTTTGAATCTTTTACAACATGAATATATCTATATGCTATTTATCTAATCAAATTTAATCAAGAAAAGGAATAACAATTTTCTCTGTTATTGCCCTTTTATTGTTAAGAATATAGAACAATACGTATTTACAATGAAAAATGGGGATTTAGAGTGAGGTTGCCTGAATATGTCTCCTGACAAAAGGCATCACTCGATACTGGCTCACATTTCCAGATAGGTCAAGCTACCTTTTGGAAGCACAAATCTCCGCAGGAATTTCTTCCATTTTGGGGGGGTACTTTCTAACCAGCTTCCCAACCCTGCGCCAGAGCTGAGGGCCCTTCTGTTTCGCCGCACAGGCTGGCTGTTGGCAGCCTTTGCTCAAAGGCAGACTGACGTCCTAATCAGAGTGCTTTGCCGATAGCACTGGCATTTCAGAAACACTGACAATCGCGGCGGAAGCAGCAGATAAACAGCGTATCACCCGCTAGAGTGGGCCTTGCTGTTTCTCAGATTAAATGGAAACATATGCCCAATTGTGAATTTTAAACAGCGTTATCAGACTGTTTGACAGCTCATCCAGTAATATAATAAGGCTCCACTGAGAGAGTGGAAGCTATAATCCAAATCTCGGAATTTCCTTTTATATAATGGTAGATGAGAGGGTTATGGGTATGGTTTCCATGTACCCGGGACTGGTGTGTGTATGCACGCATTCAGATGTGTACAGATGTGCGTTTGTGACAGTCCCAATTTAAAATATTTTATGCTGTTTTCTTTGTCAACCACCAACATGTTCCCCAACGATAAAATTCTTATGTCTAAGCCACATTTCCAAGGGGCCAGAGGGTGGTGGTATACAGGAGGGGGGATGGAAAGCAAATTCTAGCTGGGGTTATGCTGTTTAACGATTTATAATTTCTATTCTAACTGTGTACCATCCATTCGTCCATCCATCCATACAATAAGTATATTTTCTTTGTTAAGAAAAACTCAGAAAGAAGTACAACAGATTACCAAATATAGAAAGCAACTTAAGTATTCATCTTTCATAAAACTTTTGATGGTAAATGGTTTCATTCTGAGAATCTTTTAAATTTTAATTTTAAAACAATTGAAAATAATTGATGTGTTTATGGCCTTCATTTGTATTCTTGAAAGGGTGTCTTGGATCATCAAAATGTTGCCAACTTCTACAACCTGTGCCAGATGTGTGGGGCTGAGACAACTGTAAAGAAGTAGTGTGTGGTGTGTGAGATGTATGAGTGTGGTTTGTGTGTGTGATGTGTGTGTGTGGTATGTGTGATGTGTGTGGGGTGTGTGGTGTGGTGTGTGTGTGTGTGTGTGATGTGTGGGGTGTGTATGATGTGTGTGTGGTGTGGTGTGTGTGGTGTGTGAGTGTGCCGTGTGGTGTGTGTGTGGTGTGTATATGATGTGTGTGTGAGTGTGTGGTGTGAATGTGTGACATGAGCATGGCAAAGGGCAGGATTACACCAAAAGCCAAAGCGAGAACCTTCTTTTTTCCATCTTTCCTTTCTTTTCTTTCCTTTTCCCCTTTCTTTTCTCTCATCTGATTACTTCAGTCTTCTCTTCCTCATTCTCCCTTTTATTCTATACTTCCCTTTAAAAATGTTTCATAACTTAAAAAAATTGATATATCATAGTTCACAGTTGGGGGGCATACACATGATGTTTTGATACCTGTATACAATGTGTAATGATCAAATCATGGCAATTGGGTTACCCATCACCTCAAACATTTATCTTTTCCCTATGTTGGGAACATTACAATTCTTTCTCCTCTAGTTATTTTTAAATCTACAATAAATTTTTGTTAACTATAATTTCCCTACTGAACTATCAAATACTAAAACTTATTCTATGTAACTGTATTTTTGTACCCATTAACCAACTTCTCTTTTCCTCTTTTCCTCCTTCCCTCCCCAGCCTCTGGTAAGCACTATTCTACTCTCTACCTCCATGAGATCTATTTTTGTTTTTAGCTCCCACATAGGCATGAGAACATGTGATGTTTGTTTTTGTGTGCCTGGCTTATTGCACTTAACATAATGACCTCCAGTTCCATCCATGTTTCTGCAAATGACAAGGTTTCACTCTTTTTATTGCTGAATAATATTCCATTGGGTATACATACTACATATTCTTTATCCATTGATGCACTCTTAGGTTGAGTGCATATCTTGACTATTGTGAGTAGTGCTCTAACAAACATGGGAGTGCAGTATATCTTCAATGTACTGATTTCCTTTCTTTTGGATGTATACCCAGCAGTGGTATTTTTGGATCACATGGCAGTTCTATTTTTAGTTTTTTGAGGATATCCATAATATTTTTCGTATGGCTGTACGACTTTGCATTCCTACCAACAGTATACAAGAATTCCCCTTTCTCTACATTCTTTCCAGGATTTGTTTTATTTTATTTTACTTATTTTATTTTGTTTTGTTTTGTTTTTTTAAATTTTGTTTTATTTTATTTTATTTTATTTTATTTTTGAGATGGAGTCTCATTCTGTTGCCCAGGCTGGAGTGCAATGGCATGGTCTTGGTTCACTACAACCTCTGCCTCCCAGGTTCAAGTGATTCTCATGCCTCAGCCGCCTATCTGGGATTACAGGTGTGCGCCATCACACCTAGCTAATTTTTGTATTTTTAGTAGAGATAGGGTTTTGCCATATTGGGCAGGCTGGTCTGGAACTCCTGACCTCAAGTGATCGGCCTGCCTTGGCCTCCCAGAGTGCTGGGATTACAGGCATGAGCCACTGTGCCCGCCGGGATTTGTTATTTTGTATCTTCTTGATAATAATCAATCTACCTGGAGTGAGATGATATCTCATTGTGGTTTTGATTTGCATTTCCCTGAAGATTAGTGATGTTGAGTTTTTTTTTTTTTTTTTTTTTAAAATATATAACTCTTGGTCATTTGTATGTTTTCTTTTGAGAACTGGCTCTTCAGGTCTTTTGCCCAATAAACAAAATTAGGAATGGGGTCTTTCTAGGAATGGGGTCAGCTGGGGTGTTGCCCAGGCCAGCCTCAAACTCCTGGGCTCAATCCTCTTGCCTCAGCCACCTGAGTAGCTGGGACTATAGGCATGTGCCTCTGTGCCTGGCTCTGTCCGTTTTAAAATCAGATTATTTGTTGTTTGTTTTTTTTGTTCTTGAATTTTGTTTGAGTTCCTTATATATTCTGGTTGTTAATTTCTTGTTGGACACTGCTATAGTTAGGATATTTGATGATCCAAACCTTCTATTGAAATTTGATCCCCAGTGATGGAGGTGGGGCCTAATGGGAGGTGTTTGGGTCATGGGGACAGATCCCTCATGAATGACTTGGTGCCATCCTTGTGGTAATGAGTGAGTTCTCCTTCTATTAGTTCCCAAGAGCTGATTGTTTAAAGAGTCTGGTGGTACCTTTCACCCCTCTCTCTTCCCTGCCCCCACACTATGTGGTCTCTGTACACACCTGCTCCTCTTCACCTTCCACCATGAGTGGAAGCAGCCTGAAGCCCTCACCAGAAGCAGACGCTGGTGCCAGGCTTCTTGTACAGCCTGCAGAACAGTGAGCTAAATAAACCTCTTTTCTTTGTAAGTTACCTAGTCTCAGGTATTCCTTTAAAGCAACACAAACTAAGACAGATGGATAGTTTGCAAATATTTTCTCCCGTGCTGTTGGTGGTCTTTTCACTTTGTTAATTGTTCTCTTTGCTGTGCAGAAGCTTTTTGGCTTGATACAATCACATTTGTCTGTTTTTGCTTTTGTTACCGATACTTTTGAAGTCTAACCCCCCAAAAATCTTTGCCCAGATCAATGTTTTTTTTTCTTTGGTAGTTTCATAGTATCAGGTCTTACCTTTAAGTCCTTAATCCATTTGGAGTTGTCTTTTGTATATGGTGAAAGATGGGGATTTATCCCACTTTTTCACATCCACTATTCTTATTTTCCCTCCTATCTTTTTTGTATACATGGTTATAGGATTTTTAGCAGTGTTTCATTATGTTTTTAGAAAACATGTTTTGCAGAAGAGAAACTCTTATGAATTTTCTGTAGTGCTTCAAATCATAATCATTCAAGGAATATATCCCAAGTAGCTCTGATAGGAAACACTATTGAACAATTAGTAAGATATGCCCATAAGAATCATCATGAGGAATAAAAACAATTAAGTTTCTTAAAAAGAAAAAAAAACTTCCAACTCTAAAAATATCCTTTTTTGTTAGAATGATCTTTATTTACTTGAACACAAAGAAATTTAAAGCAGTATTAGAAAATGCAGCATTTGATAGAGTCTTTACACATCCTGTTCTCAATAGACAGTTTTTCCTCAAGGAATACCTGAATTTGGTTGTGACATTAAATTAGCAAATTTTGGCTGTGTATTTTTAGTGCCTTATTTGTGATTTTGTTGTTTTAAAATAAAAAATTCAGTGTGAATAAATTTGAATTGGCAACCAAAATGGCCTACTACCAAACAGTCAGTAACCAGATTCAGTAACCACATGCCAAGCCAGAACATCAGAAGAATCCTCAAGCAAATGAAAACATAGGCTTTAAT